TTTTTAAGCAAAGAATGAAAGAATTGTCGAGACTGTGTCTGATCTCTGTGTACCTAGCCCTGTTTCTGAAGGATTGTATGTAGATGAAGTCATGAGCAGGTCAATGGGGGCGTCCTGCACTACAGGGGTTTTTGCACCACCTGTGAGATGCCTTTGCATGTTTCGCTTTGGAATAAATATATTTGACACGCGGCACCTTTGTAGAAAGATTGTTGTTCTAGGTAGTCAGTTGGCTGAAACGGAACAACTCTGATTAATGATGGTCAGTTATGTATGTAAGTGTGGGAATTCCTTTTTCTGTGGTATAAAAGGAATGATATAGCAAAGTAAATGTCTTTGGGTCTTCCACTGAAAAAATAGTTTTAATTAGATTTTTATTACTTAAAAGTGTAACCTAAATTTAAAATAATTTTCATGAAGGATGACTAACTTTTTCTTAATGTATGAAATCTGCATTTTGGGAAAGGAAAGTATTTGATCTACTTGGAATACATGCTGTGAGGACTTGGTGCAGTAACTGTTGTTGGCAAGCATAGCTGTCAGGCTTTGCACAGGTCTCATCAGGGATATTCGACTGCTTCTCTTTGCAGATATTGGAATCCCAGTTTTTTACGTTGTGACTTGGATACATAACGCTAAATTTCTCTCTATAGGTCCTCTACTGGCTTAAGGTCCAGAGATTGGTTAGGTCTCGCCATGACATTGTTGTGTTTGTTTCTGTGTCTTTCACTCAATGCCGTGTTGTCATCCTGTACCTTTGGCACAAAAACACTCCAACAGTTTGATGATTGCACCACCCTGTGTGACGTTTTGGGTGGTGTTCTTGGAGGTCATAGTGAGGATTCTTGTCCTCCCAAATGCAGCGAGTGGATTGATGTCCCATTGTTCAACCACAACACATTAAGTCTTATCAGAAACCTTCAGGTGTTCACTGGCCAGCTTCACATGTGCCTGATCATGGGCTTTGTTGACCAGGGCAACTTTGCAGGCAGTGCAGGATTTCAGACCGTTACAGCGTGATTTGTTACAAATGTTTAACCAGCTGCTTTGAAATCACTAACTTGATCCTCGCATGTAGTTCTGGGGCTGTTCCCCACTGTTCACTCATTGATAGTGCATATGAAATAAACCGAATCCTGACTTGGTAAAGCTTTATTTTTGTTGTTGTTTAAAACACCTAACGGAAATGATCAAGTATCTATTTCCATCACTGAAATGCAAATGAAATTGAGGGTTTTTGTAGATTACCTTTGACAATTAGGATAAACCTACTTACTCCTACTTATTTCCCTCAGTGCCGCAGTACTTAAGTGCAAACAGTGTGTCTTAAATTAAAACGACACAAAAAACTTCAAGGTTTTTGATTGAGTGAACACTGAGGATCGTGAGGTTTTCTTGAAATTTAAACTCGGGAGGATTGTTTGAAACATACACTGAATGTGAAGAGGCTAATGGTTTGAGAAAGCCACAGAAAAGCAGTGACTTTTCACTGCGTAATCACTGAAAGCGTTCGATGTGATTGATAACCTTTTTTTTTAAGCACCACAAACCACTTGTAATTCTGTTTTTTTTCTTGTCAGAGTTTGCTCCCTGTGAGTGGCAGAAACACCAGCTGTCAGTGTTTTCATTTGAATAATTGAACAAACAATCACTCAGTGATTTGTGGCCCTGGTACCTAAACTCCAGCTTTGAACTTTTCATTTCCTGTGGAGCCAGACTACTTGTTGTGCACTCAAGATCAGGCACGAAACTTGGCATTATGCTGTGCAATTTTTGATCCTGAATTGTTTTGAAGGTGACTAAAGATACGTAGCGGTAGCCGGTAATCTGTTGTCTTACTTTAATTGACGACATTAAAAGATTACAGAATACATGTGATTGCGCACGTTGATGGTGATTAATATGTGTTCTGGCCCTACAGCAGTCCAACTTCTCTGCGGTAGAGTTGCATGCAGTCATTCAAGGTTGTTCCAAACATTTTGAGGAACTTTCCACACTTTGTTGCTTCCGTTTTTTTCGTGAAATCCCACACTGATTCGGTGGTATAGAAACAGGGGCCCTGTGGGGGCCACCATCTGCTGCTGAGCTCTTGTTTTTCTTGTTGTACGAAGTTAGTTCTCTGTGACTCTGCGTTTGCAATTATTGTCATGCTGCAAAATGAATTTGGGACCAGTCAGATGCCTCCCTGACAGTGCTGCATGATGGATAATAATCTAAGCAGTTCCCGAAACTGTTGAATAGCAGCGTATATTTATGTAGAGTTAGGTGTGTAGGTTGTAAATGATCTGTTTGAGGTCTGGAAGGGCTCGAAAAACAGTCAGGTTTTTCCTTACTTATCTTGTAGAAGCACACAAATTTGCATACTTGTTTTTACACCGATTAACACTTAAAATTGTACCAGAGAACAGAACTACTGTGCTTTTGTGGTAAAAACATAACAACACATTCCAGTGGAGCACAGCTCACCCTCAGCTTGATGTTGAATCACTGGTAACATTCATAGTGACCTAATCTGTGATTTTGACAACTGATAACATGGTTTAATGTTGACTTTATTACCAAATACGGTTAAAGCATTGAAGGACATTTAGGTTAGCTTTTATTTCCCTGTATATTCATAAGAAAAAAGATCAAGGACTGTAACCCCTATCATAGATTCAGTCTCTATCATTTAAATACAGGTAGAATTCTTCTAATATTCGAGCCTTTTTGGTTTCGGCTGCTTCAACAGGGCTGCATTTCAACACCGGCTTGGCTGGATGTGGATTCTTTCTTGTCACCAGTAATTTGAGATGAGGGCTAAAAGTGATACTCAGCTAATGCTCCACATTACCAGATGCCAGGCTTTGACTTTCACTTCAAATAATGTAACATTATTATGGAGAAAGCCTAAAAAGGATACTTCAGAAACCAGTGCAAATGGGCATAGTAGTTTGAAATGTGTGGGGACAATAAGACTCGGACTGCCTCTGTTTTTTATTTCTAATTATTTTGAACCATCACATGTTAGTAGACTGACTACTATCATCAAGGTACTGAATGATTAACGTATTCTATATTTGTATTTTATTTTCACAGTACTGGTCAATCCCAGTGGAATAAGAAAGCAGAAAAGATTAAGTTTGAAACTATGAACAGAAACACACATTTCAACCAGTGTGACGACAGCGCAGATGTATGTAATAGGACTGTATTTACAAAAAACAAAAGCAGTAGCTTTGCCATCAGGAGTCAGTTTCTACATGAAGGCGGTGATGTACAATCATGAAGCTCCTAAGACACCATTTCAGGAATAACATGTGCATGAATTGAGGGTCAGGATCACAGCTGGTGAGGATGAGCTATGATAAAAGACCAGAGGTTCTCACACAGGTGCGTGACCGCAGGAGCGGCAGTGCATCAACAGAGCAGGATTTTCCTGAGGCACAGTGGTATTTTTCTCCAGGTGAAAAGCTCAGAGTGGAAAGCCCACTTCTCTGTATTTGTTGGATTTTGATTAAATCAAACTTTGACCGAGGCTCAGCGTGCAAAGTCGTGCGGTTTTTGTATTCTGCTGCACCAGACGGGGTATACCTTGTGCATTTACGCACAGTAAGAATGTCATGCATTTATTTTGATCTGTTAAGCAGTTCAGTTCAAATGTGGCAGATTAGACAAAGTTGTTTGTTAGCATCACAGTGCATGGTCCTATTCACGAAGCTGAACTAACTCAAAACAGTTTGTGTTATTATTTTAGGATTTTATGTTTTTTGTACAGCAGTACTGGTCAGTAACTTGTGAAAATAGTCAGCTAATATTACTATTTATGAACAAGCCTATCTTCTCAAATGTGAATAACTTAATAATTATTCATTTAGGACGAACGCTTCGCTTTGCAAGGCCAATAAACAATCTGCAGTAAAATACACAAGTGAAACACCCTCGTTTGGAAACAAGTTAAATAGCAGCACAGACTCCTTGCAGTCAGTCCCCCTGAGATCAGTTAACATAATGCTGGCTTTAATTGGTTTTTGGAGGTTCATTTTTTTCACCTTCCCTTTAACTATGCCTTTTGTATTTCGCCTCTCTCTCCTTCTCTCTCTTGCTTCCTCTCTCTCTCTCTCACACACACACACACACACACACACACACACACACTCACACTCACACTCACACACACACACACACACACACACTCTCTCTCTCTCTCACACACACACACACACTCTCACACTCACACACTCTCACACTCACTCACACACACACACACACATTAGACTTTCAGGACATGCCACTTTCTCTGATTTTAACGCGTCCTCCTTCCTCCAAATAACATAACAAAGCACTGACAGCCTCTGTGCACAGAACTCCTGTTGCTTCAAGTTATTTTAAAAACAGCTGATATTTTATCAGGTAGCTCTTTTGAATTCTCATTAAATTCTACATTTAACATTGCATTTGTTAGTGCTGTTGGTTCTCTCATTTATCAGGTTGATGTTTTTAAATAGAGTGAGGTGTGTGTGTGTGTGTGTGTGTGTGTGTGTGTGTGTGTGTGTGTGTGTGTGTGTGTGTGTCACAGTGGATCCCCCACCCCTACATAGTGACTCCCTATTGGCTTTCTAGCTAATGTGTTGTCTTTCTCTCTGTGTATGTGTGTCCGTCTGTCTTTTATGACTGTGTTTCTGTGGTTTTGGTTGTTTGTGCCTAAATTTCCTCTTTCATCCCCCTCTTTTCTTTTTTCTTTCTATTTTTTTAACCCCGCCACATTTGGCCTGTCGCTCATTTTCTTTGCTTTTCACGTGAGTTCTTTTGAGCATGTTCTTTGACTGTGTGTCTCCATCCCACATCCCCCGCAAACTTCTTTATGCACGTTTTTTTGAATGTCCGCTTTAAATGTATGTTTGTGTTTGTCCCGATCCTCCCGTCCATCCGTGTCTGTGTATCCCCTTTCTTTGTGTGTGTCCTTGTTCCTCGTCCGTCTTTTCCCCTCGTCGCCGTCTCCATAATGTCCCCTCCTCCAGCTTTTGTGACTTTGCTGAACGGGGACCAGGCTCAGGATGCCATCCGCTCCCTCCACCACAGCACTGTCCGTGGGCGTTTGATCAACGTCACCCTGCAGCCCACCGACTCCCTGCTGTGCCTCACCAACCTGCCCCACACCTTCACCGCCCAGCAGTTTGAGGAGCTGGTGCGCTCCTATGGGAACATCGAGCGCTCCTTCCTGGTGTACAGTGAGCTCACGGGCCACTCCAAAGGATATGGGTTTGTTGAATACATGAAGAAGGATTCTGCTTCACGGGCCCGCTCGGAGCTCCTGGGCCGCCCAATGGTATGTTAGAGCAAGTGTTAAAAATCTGCTGCAGCAGGTACATGTAATGAGATGGGAAAGGAGTAGCCTAGGCCAGAAAACATCTTCTTTACATGGACTGAAACATCAAATGCTCAAAATAAGGGATTGATTATACTGGATTAGACTAGTTGCCAAGACAACACAGGCTGCTTATTTCTTTTGTCTTATTTACTATATGCATGGTTTATATAGACAAAGCTCAACTGAAACTTGTTTCCATCGACGACCACCATTTGTTGAGGTTGATGGGAACTGGCAATAGAAGAGAAAAAAATATAATCAGTAAAAATGCAGGCCCTGCTGCTTGAGTTTGGTTTCAGTTTATGAATTGAACAAAACACACACACACACACACACACACACAAAGAAAATCTGTCCAAGTAAAATTATCTGTGGGAACAAATGCTGAAATCATAATTGCTTAAATTTAAGTGCATCAAAATCGGTTTATTGCATACAATAATCTATGACCTCACATTTGTGAAAAGTGAATCAGAATCTGCAAATGGAAGTAGAGCTCAAGGGCTGACAGGCTTTCAAACCAGCACTTACAGCGGCAAGAGCGCAGACTGTATCTCGCATTAAAGCTTTGCAGAGTTTAGCAAGTGCCCGTGACGCCAGCTGAGGATCTTAAAGCAATCACCAACATGCCAGTTTTTCCTGGGTTTCTTCTGTATTTTGAGAACATTTTCTAGTGTCCTCCCAATTTTTTTTAATGAATAATTGGAATGCACGCATGCCTATGTTTGGTTAGTTCTTCTAATCTTACCAAGTTGCTAGATTGTCGGTTAAACACAGTCTGTACAACCTTCACCACGACCTGGCAACCCGCTACCGATTTCAAGTGTCCAGACAGGCGGATCAGTCAAATGCTGAATGAATTAGATTACTCTCTGAGCTGGTGTTTCACCCCTTTTACTCCTAGACACAGCAGAGATCGAGACATTACACACAAAAAAGCGAGCCATATATTGTGACTGCTGTAAAGCTGGAAAGATATTCACGGATCCCAGCTTTTCAAATCAGGTGAAATGTGTTGTAAAAACACAAACAGACTCTTTTTTTTTTCCAATTGAAAGTAAAGTAGACATGTACAAATAGCGCTGTACTCTCTGTGGGATAACTGCACAGGGACAATCCACAAAGTGTAACCATGACTAATTGAGTACAATACAAACATTTTTATTTTGCAGTATAGTGTCACCAAATGCGCTTGGCAAATAAGTAGACCTAGCGTTGCCTTACTGTCTGACTCTGCGTCTCACTGGTGCTTGTTGCAGGGGGATCGCTCGCTAATGGTGCAGTGGATGGACGTCAACCAGCTGAGCCAGGAGGAAAACCTGCACTCCAAGTGTCTGTGCGTGGACAGACTGCCCCTGGACCTCTGTGACTCTGAGGAGCTAACCCAGCTCTTTTCCGACACGTATAAACCCGTTTTCTGCCAGGTGAGATCACAGTGCACAGAAAACTATTCATTTTTGCTGTTTCAGTGTAAAAGTGCTGATCATGGACTGATTTAGCAAGTACAACTCAGTTGTAAACAGAGCTTGAAATCAATATCTCCCCATTTTTTTTCTCAGAGCTTAATATTGTGCAGAAGCTGAAAGGACTTTACACATGAATGTTCATCTCATTATGACATATGAAACATTCGGTTCACACACACACCTTTATTACAAGAACACCTCCAGGTGAGAGGTGCTGACATAAAATTCAGCGGTCAGCATCGGTGTTGGTCAGCCTCGCCGTATCACTAAGCAACCGTCTCTATGGTGAGGTGTGGTAACTGTGATACCGGCCCCACCCCTCAACTCCATCCCTCCCTCCTTCCATCCCACTCTGATCTGTCTTTTTTTTCACTTGCGCCGTTCGCCCTGCTCCATTACATCCACTCCTCCCCCACATGCCCATTTAAAGTTCACACAATCGGCATCTGTCATCTACTGCATTTCCAGTTTTAGCTCCACCCCTCTGCCCCACTCCCACATAGAAATCAATACACCCACATCATCCTAGTCCCATGATGCTTTGTGGGTGTTTAGCTCATGTTGCTTCACTGTTGCAAAGCCAGCAGGCTTTGACCTATAGTTCAGCATTTTTTTATGTACAGTACATTATGTGCTTCAGAGCAGTTGTATTATTGCATTTCACCATGTATGCACCAGAATATTTCAGGATAAGAGCTTATGAAATGCTCTGCACCATCTATTAGGATGCAAAGAAAACATGTACAGAAATATGAAAAATGTGCATGCCATTATTTGCTAGTGTAATGTTAATGATAGTATTTATTATATCTCTTTCCTTATGGCAGAGATGGGCATGTATTAGGCCTGTGTGTTTGCCATTTGTCTGTATGGATAATATCTTTGTTTCAATATTGAAAAGCGATATCGGAACGCCCAAGAGTTCTTTCTTTTATTTGTTTATTTATGGTCATAAGGTCACCTTACTGTGATATTCAACTCTAAACCTCAGGAACTGTGAGATATATGAGTCAGAACACACATGAATAGAAATTGCAACCTCACTGGCATTTTTATTTCATCCTTTTTTGCTTATAGTGACTGTGGTGAATGGATTCGGGCAGTCTACAGTCATATTAGTGGTTTAGTCATAGTCTGCTGAGGCACAGCAATGATGCAGTGATGTTACTGTTTAACATTTAACAGGTATGTTTTCCACATTCACAATCCTAGCTGTGAATGCCAAGCAGGTTTGGTTCTCTGATGCCTTCCTGGTAGTGATGTTACAAGAAAAATCAATACTTAGGTTGTGCGTTTCTTTACCAGATTTTAGTAAATGATGCACTGGTTGACAGACATTGCCATGCCTTTAGTCATGCTGCATGCCTGATAAAACCTTTAGCGTGGTACCATGGTAAGGTTGTAGAATCTCTGTAGCTAGTTTGGCTCCCGTTGCTAGCTAGCTAGTCTTGCTTATGCATAATAGCTCATTCACACTAAAGTAGAAATAGGACGGCAACCTCCGTTTGACTGAGAAATATCAGCGGTTGCCCGGTGATTCCATTCAATTATGTCACACGCAGCAACCACTTGGAAACAGGTGAGCTGAGCAGCTGATTGGCCCTGCAACACCCCCAATACCTGAGCGACCACTTTCAATCACCATGTGATTCCACAGGTCACCTGGTGGTAGGCAACCTATAAATGCGGACAGATTGCCAGCACATTGCGATCAGTCTGGCTAAACTCTGAATATAAGTAGTTAATGGGACTTTTTCATCAACAGATGTGCAGTTTTCACCTGTATCGCTGTTTATTGTCAGGAGACTGCATGTATGCATGTACACGGTCGCCATAATTTTGGTCATGCTGCAGTCTCCAACCACAGTTTTCCCTGTTTGACTGCGTAGCATAATTGATTGAGATTGAGCCGTTTAATTGTCACTAGCAATGTTACACGAACACAGAGTTGAAATAGGACCCCTTCCAACCGTACATACATTGCACAAACATGACGTTGGTAAGACAGGTCAGAGAGATGTATGATGGTAAAAAAACAATGAAATACATAAATACATGAGGGAAGAGGAGGGAAAAATAAGAACTCCATCCAGACTGAGCTCCTTATGGGAGAGCAGTTTGAGAATAGAATAAAAACCCTCAGCACAATGAAGCACATGAATCTTCACACCTTACAACATAACAACATAAAAAACATGCGACTTGTGACAGGGGAGGGGGTATTGGACAGAGCCGATGTACACAACAGCCGTCCGGTCCGAGGAAGTAGGAGGATAGGGTCATACACCGTCTTGTGATCTGGGAGAATTTGTTGTTCCTGCTTCCGCCCTGGAGCTTCCAGCTAGTGAGGTGAGGCTGCATGTAATTAGTGGTTGTTTGGGTTTGGTTTAGGGCGAAAAAGAGACCAGTTGATCAAATCCATAATTTCTTGTTTACAGAGAACAAGACTGAGAGAGTCTCTAAGAGTTAGACAAGACTAGACAAGGACAAAGAAGCCAAGCAGGAAATAAAAGGGAGGGACAGAGAGAAAGATGCGACCACCTCCATCAAGAGCCAAGAGAGACTCTACAAGAGAGAGATAACATAGATATTAATACTTAATAATATCAATATACTGAATGTGTTTCTGTACAGGTCAGAGATCAGTGCTGTCTGCAGAATAGAAGAGGAGCTGTTCTGAGTTGGTCATTTTGTTTGTTGCATATTTATTTGTTTAAGATGATTCCCTAATGCCTCACTGCCAGCAGCTCCAGTTCACCTTGCATAAACCGTCCTCCTCCTCTGTGCACATAAGTAGAACTCAGCCCTTATGTCACTTTTTCTTTGTTCGGCGTGCACTTAACCTGTGGCCTTGGCCCCGAGCGTTATAATTCTGCTACCCATGAAAGGGCCCTCCAGGCAGCACTTTAGCTTGAGTCAGCCAGGAGAAATGGAAGGAAGAGAAAGTAAAGAATGTCAACCATATTAGAGGAAAGGACGGCAGGTTGGAAATGGAAGGAGGGATGGGAGTAAAGGAGGACGGCGCTAAGAATGCCAGAACTATTAGAGAGAGGATGGAGTGAAGGAGGAGAGCCGACAGTGTCAGGCATAATAGAAGGACAGCGAGACGTGGAGCGATGAGGTGAAATAGCGAAGAGGCGTATGATGCCAATCAAAGGAAGACGACTGGTGGCATATATGCAACTATTGATGTAATAATGATGACTAGGAGCAAGTTGAATACTCACATTTATAGGCAGGAGACAAAAAAAGAACAAATGTTACATAAAAATGTCTTTCAAAGAGTGGACAAGTTCTGTTTTAAGACCTTTGATTTTTCTTTCAGGTCAGGATATAACTTCCAGTGGTTTGATTAAGATTGATGGATGGATGGTTTAAAGCAGTGCAGAAATAAATTGCTGCAAAAAAGTAATTTCTTCAGAGCAGTGTTAGATGAGTACGGACACAGCAAAGCATCATACTAGTGCCAACCTAACCCCCCCCCCCCCCCCCCCCCCCCTCCAAAAAAAAAAAACCAACCAAACAAACAAAAAAGCAAAATCTGCACTATCAGTGGTGTATAAGTGATACAGATGGTGGTGATGTGCAGCAATGTCAGAACAAAAGCCGAGAAGTTAACAGCAAAGCGGTGAATGTGGATCTGAGCTTTCATGATACGTGTTTTATGAGGATGGATATGAGCACTTCTTGTGCTTTTCGGCCACTTTTAACTTTTTTTTCTTTTTTGTTTTTTAGAAGAAAAATCCCCAAGGCACCTTCAGCTTTGTTGACAATCAACCAGAAAAATGGAAATGAAAATAATGAGTTTTCTTTTGCTGTCGGGAGCCAGACAGTTGCCTTATTTAGTACAACAGGGGAGAAAAAAAGAGCTAATTTAGCTGATTTTGAATATGTACTCTTTTACTCTCTCAATCACTGGCACTTGCTTTTGTAGAGCTAATTAATCTTTCCAAGTACAATCATAAGATTCTTGACACAATTATTGACCCCCTTTGGTGAAACGCAGTGTTTCAAAGTTTTATTTGAAAAGATGATCTCATTCAGTGACGTCTTCCCGCTGCACACAAAGGTGACGATAAATCTGTGAAATCATTCGATTTAGCAGAAGTACACCACAAGCGTTCTTTTTTTCCCCTTTTTTTTTAATGGAGGCTTACTTAGATTAACTCCACCTCTCCCTTCGTTGTCCAGCACTCGTCATAAAGACATTTGCACTTAAAGCTGTCACTGTGATAGGCCATGTACCTCTCTTCAAAGACAGCTGTGACAGGGCTGTCCTGACCTCATCACTCTGTTCCGACAACTGACGTGACCATTTAAACTGTGTCACACGCACACACAAACACACACCGACAAACTGACAGGTGCTCCCCCGAGCCTGAGCCCTGCCAGTGATGCATTCTGCATCGCTTTGCTGGGGACCACGACTGGAGGTCAAGAGCTGTCGGACACAGTGATTGCTAGCTATGCGTGCACACACATGCACAGTCACATGTATAGTAACATCATTTAAGAGTAGACAGGCAACTGCTTTTTTTAAAAATTGTTTTTAAGGTGTCTTTGCAGTATTGAGCTTGACAGCATTAATTCAGTGAATCCGCTTTAAATTCGTATTTGCCGTTTCTCCTGTTGTACTGATGATACTGAGATTCCAGGCAGTCCATTGGCACATGTTAATGCAATGGGATTTTTTTCCTTCTCTTTTCACTCAACCCCAACTCCAAACAGCAGATGGTTACTCATCCACGAGTCATTTTGTGCTGGAAGTCTCTTCCTGTTAAAAGGGAGTTCTTGGATTGGTGAAATGATTGGTCTTCTCTCATAAATAGTGAAGAGTCTTTACCTTGAGAAAATCAGCAGCTCTCATTCTGTAGTTTTACCTCTTTGTTGCATCTTTTCTGGATATTTATAATTATCCATCCATCCATTCGCTTCCACTTATCCTTTTCAGGGTCGCT